TTGAAGTATTTCAGATAACAGATGTTGCCCTGGACGTGCTCACCAAGTTGTGCCAAGAAATCTGGAGAACAACCACTTGGCCAACTGACTGGAAGAGCTGCACTTAGGCCTGCTGTTAATTGTGTTTGGGAAGAACATTGATCAAGTGGTACAACACTTTTCTAGAAGTTTGTTGTATTGAGATAACTTGGGGTTGCTGTGATATTGAACATTCTGCCACTGGTGTATCAAATACCATAATGGTTATCCATCGTGGGCAGGGGTTGGTAGAGCTCTCAGAGTAAGACAGGCTTGAAAGCAGAACTGACATTCACTCTTTAAACAACAGGCCTTTGGAAAACTCTATGAACATTAGAGAAATGACAACAGTTACAGAACAGAGTTCAGATCTTTTGTTCATAACATTGCTATGAGTCATACTCGACTTGAAAGCACTTAACAACTATGGGCCTTTTGTTCATGTTCATCTATGTCTTCTGCAGAAAGGCTCAAGAATGTGAATTTTGTTAAGAATTCCTCAGTAAACTTCAGAATACTCATTGACAAATGCAGGATAGGTATATATATGCTAAATTGATAAGAAGTTTGGCCTAGAAAGATTTAAGTATGTGTGGACATCATGTTTGGGAGAGTGGAGGGACAGCACAAGAGAGGAAGACCCTAAATGAGATGGATCAATTCAGTGATTGAAGTAATGGGGGTAGGTATGTCATAGACAGTGAGGTTGGTACAGGAAAGAGTAGGGTTTAGGGCTCTTGTACATAGGGTTGCTATGAGTTGCAAATGCTAGAGGGCATATAACAACAACAACAACAACAACATGGTTTTTATGGTTTCTGAGTCTTAAATCTCTAACTACTTTACTCAAAAAGAACTTTCATGGTTTAGTAAAGCAAGTATTGGACTTCCAACCATAAATTGGCAGTTTGGACTCACCAGCTAGCTGCTCCTTGGGTGGAAGGTGAGGCAATCTCTTCCTCTTAAGATCTACAACCATGGGTTTCCCTGAGTTATAATTGACTCAACAGCAATAAGTCTTACTTACAAAGGAGTACTTGGGTGGTGCAAAAGATTAACAACCTGGAAAAGGAACCTGTCACATCCCTGCAACCCTTCTAACTATTAAAGTACATTCAAAATTCAAACTTAGTCAATGTACATGTATAAGATTGGTCATGGAAAAATTTGTCTGCAAAGAGAAAGTGTCACTCCTCTATAAAAGCACTGGCCCATACAACATCTGTAAAAAATCTTCCACGATAATCTTATTAAGTGAATTGATTCACTGGGATTATTTTAGCCTGAATTCAGAACTAGTGAGTAAAAAGAAATTAAGTCTGGATTCAGAAGAAGTTGTGGAAGATATTTAATCATGTTTTATTGACTATGCAAATATATTCACCTGTGTAGATTGGAATAAATGATCTATAACACTGGGAGAAGATTGGGACTCCCAGAACACTTGTGCTCATGCTAAACTTGTTCCTAGGCAAAAGAAAAAA